GCTTAGCAGTCTAAGTAGCCCAGCTCCTGATCCCTGAGTATCTGCAGTACTCCAAAGTATTGCTGATAACAGACCAGCCTGGCTCATCAGCAAGATTGAAATCAGGGTTTCTTCTGAATTAATAATAATTAGCTCCTGTTAACCCTGCAACCCAAAGCCCTAATTGGTAGGGTGGTTTTAGCTGGATAAAGAGCTGGAAGCTTGTCAGACAGTCATTTCAATGGCTAGTTATGCAGTATGCAATAATTCATATTTTGGATATACAATATTAAAAAAATTACACTTGTATAGAACCATTCATGTCGGGAGGACATCCCAAGGCACTTAGTCCCTATCTTCAAGTTAACATACATATCTGTTTCTACCAGATGGGCATACACTGTCTGAGGAATAGGAATTGCTCTCTCTACCTCTGAGGCAACATGTAGATCCCTCTCAGTGCCTGTCCATTTTGGTTTGGACAATAGGGACTTATAGTTGCAAACCCACATAGACTTGTATGTGGTTCAATGCCTTGGTGCATCAAAGAAACATATAAATTTACAGCACAGAATATAGCCATTCGGTTCACTGACTGCGCTTGCTCTCAAGAGCAAGCTGTACTTTTAACCCTTCTGCCCTGCTCTATCGCCAAACCCCTTCAAGCCTCTAACTTTTATATATACATCTACTTCCCCCTTGAAACCCACAATGGACTCTGCCTTTACAACCTTACTTTGCAGGGTATTGCACATCCCAACCACTCCCTGAGTGAAAACAAATTCTTCGAAGCTCTCCTTTCACTCTTCTTGTGGTTACCTTAAAGCTTTGTCCCGCCACCTCCCTCCACAAGCTGCAGGTCATTCAGAACTCTGCAGCTCGTGTACTGTCCCGCACCAGGCTTCGGGACCACATCACTCCCACCCTCGCTCGCCTCCACTGGCTCCTCATCCCCCAGAGGATTGATTTCAAGATCCTCATCCTCACCTACAAGGCCATTCATGGCCTTGCTCCCTCCTACCTCTCCAACCTACTATCCCCTACCTACCTGCCCGTACCCTCCGTTCCTCTGGCTCTGGTCTGCTCCACGTCCCCTGCCCCAACCGCCCTACCATCGGTGGTCGGGCCTTCAGCCTCTCAGCCCCCAGGCTCTGGAACTCCATCCCCCAGTGCCTACGCCTTGCTTCCTCCCTTTCCTCCTTCAAGGCCGGTCTCAAAACCTTTCTCTTTGACCGTGCCTTCAGCTCCCCTCTCGACTCTCTTCCCCCTCCTCGCTCCCTCCCTTCCCTCCCCTCACCCTGACCATTTCCCCCCTCCTTGCTCCCTCCCTTCCCTCACCCTGACCATTTCCCCCCTGCTCGGGTCATGACCCAACTGTGCAGCGCCTTGGGACGTCCTCCTGACGTGAAAGGCGCTTTATAAATGGAATCTTGTTGTTGTTGTTGTCCTTTAGTCACTGACTCCCCTCCCAATGATAATGGTTTCTCCCCATTCACCCTGGCAAAAACCCTTATAATTTTGTATAGCTTCCCTCTCAACCTTCTTTGCGCCAATGAAAATAAACCCAAATTTTCCAATCTCTCTTTATTCCTACAACCCATCATCTCTGGCATAATTCCAGTAAACTGCTTCTGCACACCCTCCAAGGCCTTAACATTGTTCCTGAAGTGAGCTACCCACAACTGATCACAGTATTTAATTTGTGGCTTAACCAATGATTTGTACTTTGCTATTGGGTCATGAGGTATGTCCTGTCCAACAATCCCCCAGATAAAATTGGTCATTCACTTCATGGCTGCTCATCAGGTCTGCCAAAAGAAAAAGATCACCACACTTGTTCCACCATAAATCTTGTGAGCTATTTGAAACTTCCTCCCAATGTGAAAATCGCTATGTCAAATACCAGGATTATTATTATTATTATCTCAATTCATAACAAAATGATTTACTTAATTGGATTTTCCATGGTGCTCATTCAAGTCTCAGCAGTCCCAGAACTTCAACAATTTGCCCGTCAAGTAGTTGGGTTCAGTTCAGGCTGACAATCTGAAGAAGCTGCAGGTGGAAAAATACTTGAATGGTTAAAATACTTTGAGTCATTACCCAGCAATTTCAAACTAATGTGAATAATTACTGCAGTTGAGTTTCAGCTTAGTGTTTTGTTTTTTTTGCCAGTTGGCGATCAGCATCTTCTGATGAAGTCGATGGCTGTCACTTCTTCCATGTTGTATTTCATTCTCTATTCACACTTTGTTTTAAAAATAGCAAAGAGGAAAGGAGAGCACGTCAAGGGTAAAGATTCAAATTAAATGGAAAAAGACCTTAAGAGAAATCTGTTGGAAAAAGGCAACTTAAAAACCTTGGCTATCACTTTTAATTAAAACCCCCAATTCAAGGCCCAACCAGCCAAAATTGCCTTGATTTCATCTTAAAATACACTTTAAACATTATAGTCCTAAAATATAAATTATCTCCAATCTAGTTTTAATATTCCCTTTTTTCTTGAGGCAACTTGAATTCTGTAATATATCAATGATGGACTCTAACTGTATATTTAGTTTCTAGGATAGTTTTTTGATACGGTAGAGCCTATACTGAGTATATTTTCACAGCTCAGACGATGATTCTTTGCTTCAGTAATACAAGTTTACTTCAGATTTGCCAGGCTTGATTCCTTAGAGCCAGTTCAGCCTCTGCTTATTCCCCCCAACATGTATATTGTATTATGGAATTTAACATATAAAAGTTCAGGAATCATAGTATATCTTCCATTCTTCTACACCATATCATGGTAACAACTTCTCAGAATACTTTACAGTATTCATAGTCAAGAACTGTGGCCATTTTTTTAGGCAAAATAATATTTATGGGACACAATCATTTCTGTGCTCCTGAAGCTAGTAAGTCAGTGAAGAATGCGTATTGTGTTTGGGAGGAAAGAGGCTGCGGTGGAACAATGAGATAGAAGAGCAACAGGAAACAAATTGCTCTAAGGTTTGGTTTTGCAATGTTTAGGTGTCTGAGTGTAATTGGAAACATTTCTCCCAGTTGATCGAGGGATAGGTTCTCCTTGAATTGTGGAAGGATTTATTATTAATAATATTCCTTGCATTTGATATAGTGCCTTATCGCGTCTTCGAGCTGTCAAAGCATTTCACAGAATGTACTCTAAAATGGAATTGACTGCATATTTTGTGGGCGAAACGTTGAATGGCCTTTTCTCTTTCAGCTCTTCTTATTTTCCTATACCACTTTTTTTTGTCAGCCTCACTTTTATTGCTTGATGCTAAATTCCCTTTTGCTGTGAAACACGCTGACCACTTGAATGGATTGGTCTCCACAACTTTTTGTTCACTTATATTATTCTGTGACTAACCCAAACCATGTGTGGATATGTGGCAATGCCCAATGGAGCAAGTCTATATTTCATCTTAATTCATCTCATCTGCCACGTGCTGAGGCTGGGAATGAAACTACAATGCTTCTGTTATCCCAACGCCTGAATTCTGTCAAGGTCTACAAATATAAAACATACGTATTGTTTCAAAATCAATACATTACAGGACAACAGGGGTTCAGGGCAATGGTCAAAATGCACCACAGTTTTGAAAGCCCTGTGTAGCAGTTCAAAGGTCTTCACGTGGGTTCAGTATCAATTCTTCTGCAGACGTTTCGGAAGATAAAGGTGACATGAGACAAGTTATGAGAAAGAGCAAAGAGAACTTACCCAGACATAGACATCAATATCGCAAGAAGCACAACTGAGCACAAATCCACAAGTCAACAGTGGTTTACATTAGTTCAAACAGGAGATGGAGCAACTCTTACACTAAGTGTAGCAGTTCATATTGCTCACTCTGCCACGAGTATTCGGCATTTATTTCCCTGATGTGCTCTGATGCACTGTCGGAAACCCCAGCATTTTCATACCAACTGCCACAAAATCTCCAGAAAGAATTCTTTCAACTACAAAGTTACTCAAATGGGACCCTGAGCCACTTCCAAGTCATCATTTATTATTGCATTTGCAATAACAACAACAATAATAATTCTTGCATTTGGAATCGAGCCTTTCATGTCCGGAGCACATCCCAAAGTGCTTCATAGGGCTATACTATGAAGTTGTGTCACTTTGTACAATCATTTTTTGTGGGAAGTCAGCTGGGTGTCTGACACATGCGGAAACTCACCACCATGCTTAAGAGGATCCAAACCAAACTGAGAATTCCATGCAACCCACCTACACATGGAAATCCCAGAGATAAGAATGGTTATGCACCCTCTCTCCCTGGAAGGACGCATCCTGCTTACCTAATTCCGGAAAACATTCGGTGCAGGATAGCGCGAGCCCTAGGCTCGGGGACCCCAGAGTGTGCGTTTGGGGGTACATTTGGAGTCTAACCAGCTAAAACCACATAGCTTGCCATTGATATCACTCTCTGGGGAAGCTTTCCCTCTGCTTGACCAGCCAGGACCATCCTACCCTTCAGAGCTCCAGCTTGCAGGGTTAAACAGGAGCTGAGTGGGATGATTCCCTGCCACCCCTCCCACCCACCCACCCACCCAATAACACCCGCTCGCTCACTGCTAAGGAATTATTTCTCGTTTCAGCCTTTCCTTTAATAGAGCTATTTTTTTTCTGAAGGCTGCCAAAGGGTATGCACTTTGTGCAGAAGGAAGAATCAGTTTGCAACATGCAAATAAATGCCAGGAGTGGCCACAGACTGATAACTCAGGAAAAGGGGTGGAGGGGTGGGTGGGGGGGGGGGGTGTCGAGCTGCCTTGCAAGTGGATGGAGAGGAGGAGGCTGGTGGTGGTCGCTTCGCTGCGTCTTCCTCCACTAGGCGGCTCGTGTGCACGTCTTAACAAGGATGCGCTTTGCTGCTCCCATTCCCCCCCCCCGCGTCCAGTTCGTTTGCACAGGGGACTGAATATTGGGGGGAAAAGTGACGCTGGTTTCGCTGTCCTGCGCAGATCCTGCGGGCAATTCACTTTAAATATTGCCTCGACGTAAAGAAAGAAAGAAAGAACGAACTCCAGGCGGCAGATCGGTGCCAAGCGATGCAGTGGCAGCAAGAGGTAGGAGTGGGCAGTGCACAGAGGAAAGTTCAAGGCAATCGAGCAGCCACACCGAGGGCACGTCAGGAGTCTCGTGTGTGTGTGTGTGTGTGTGTGTGAGAGAGTGGGGTGGATGTGTGAGTGTGAGAGTGGGATGAGTGAGTGAGTGTGAGTGAGTGTGAGTGAGTGTGTGTGTGTGTGTGTGTGTGAGTGAGAATGTGTGTGGGATGAGTGAGTGAGTGTGAATGTGTGTGTGTGAGTGTGAGTGTGTGTGTGTGTGAATGAGAATGTGTGTGGGAGTGAGTGAGTGTGAGTGAGTGTGTGTGTGAGAGTGTGAGTGTGAGAGTGTGTGTGTGTGAGTGAGAATGTGTGTGGGATGAGTGAGTGAGTGTGAGTGAATGTGTGTGTGTGTGAGAGTGCGTGTGAGTGTGTGAGTGTCAGTGTGTGTGAGTGAGTGTCAGTGTGTGAGTGAGTGTGAGTATGAGAGTGAGTGTGAGAGTGTGTGTGAAAGTGAGTGAGTGACTGTGTGTGTGAGTGAGTCAGTGTGTGTGAGTGAGTGTCACTGTGTGAGTGAGTGAGTGTGAGTGTGAGAGTGAGTGAGTGAGTGAGTGTGAGTTGTGAGCACACGTTTAATGCAACAACACCTCCGCTCCGCTCAAAAGAAGCAGAAGGAGAAAAAGCAGCAGAAGAAAAAAAATACACCATCACAGAACAGGGCAGTCGGACGAGTCTTAATTTTTTTTTTGTAAGGACATCAGGAGGCATCGCCTTTTTAACCGGGTGGAAGGGGGCACAAAAAAATAAAATAAAATAAAAAAATAAAAATAAAAATAAAAAAAATAAAATAAAAATAAAAAAATTAAAAAAATTACAATAACAGTTGAAATAGTTTCTACTGTGTGTGTGTGTGTGTGTGTGTGTGTGTGTGTTTTTTCCCCGCAGTCGGAATTAGCTGATGCCATGACTTCGGAGGAGTGGGAGCAACTGGGACTGAACACGTCTGAGGGCAACACCACCTCTCGGGAGTCCAGCCCGAGCCCGGACTACCTGTACGCCATCCCCGCCGTCTACGGTCTGATCGTCCTGATCGGTCTGATCGGCAACGCCACCCTGATCAAGATCTTCCTCACCGTCAAGTCCATGAGGAACGTGCCCAACATCTTCATCACCAGCCTGGCCCTGGGAGACCTGCTGCTGCTGCTGACCTGCGCCCCGGTGGACGCCAGCAAGTACGTGGCGGACGAGTGGCTGTTCGGCCGAGTGGGCTGCAAGCTCATCGCCTTCATCCAGTTAACCTCGGTGGGGGTCTCGGTCTTCACCCTGACAGCGCTCAGTGCCGACAGGTAGGTAGGCGTCCATAGCACCCTGACACCCTCCCTCCCTCCCACCCACCCACCCATCACCCTCCCACCCTCTCCATCCCTCTCCTTCACCCTCCCACCCTCTCCATCAGCCTCCCACCCTCTCCATCCCTCTCCATCAGCCTCCCACCCTCTCCATCAGCCTCCCACCCTCTCCATCCCTCTCCATCACCCTCCCACCCTCTCCATCCCTCTCCATCAGCCTCCCACTCTCTCCATCAGCCTCCCACCCTCTCCATCCCTCTCCATCACCCTCCCACCCTCTCCATCAGCCTCCCACCCTCCCACCCTCTCCATCAGCCTCCCACCCTCTCCATCACCCTCCCAACCTCTCCGTCACCCTCCCTCTCTCCCTCTTGGGCTGAGGTCCCTCTGCCATCTCAGGAGCCAGAGTCAGAGGAATGTGGTCCAAGGGTTCAGACGGGGGTTTGGGGTTTAGTTTGGAAGATGGACCCGACTTTGTTGCTTTGCAAATCCACAACTTGTCTGATTTGGCAACTTCTTTCCTCTAAAAGCTCCAGTCAAGAGACCCATCTGATCTGCACAAACGTCCCCCCCCACACCCCCCCCCCCCCCCACACACACTTTTTTTTCTCTCTCTCTCACTCTCACTTCTCAGTTTAATCGAATCAAAGCAAAAATGGCTCAGTGTTGGAATTATTGGTGGTTTGCAAAACAGGGTCAAACTTGTTTGCAAGCGGGGAAAAGAGAGAGGGGGGAGGGGGGGGGGGGGAGGGGGGAAGCACCACCACATCACCAGCGGATACGATGAGAGTAAAAAAAGAGCTGTCGGAATCTGCAAGACAACCTGTCCCTTTGCTGCTGAGAAACATCCCCATCCCGATGAGAAGTCGCATTTACGTGGTTAGATCGGCTCCAAAGTGACTCCCCCTTTAAACCTGCATGGAAATGCTTTAAACAGGCGACTCAGTTTTAAAAGCAAAAGGAAAAAAAAATGAGATGAGGTTAACCTCAACCAGCGACAACTCATTGGGAGCAACGTTGGGCAATGTTTTGTTTCGCTGCTGTCAACAATTAAACATGATACTTCTGTATGGATCTCGTCACTTGAAAGACCATATGGTACATTAATCCCCCCCCCCCCCACCCTTCGATTTTCCCATTACTAGTTGTTAACTAATCCGTTGTTGGTCGATTGGCGGATCGCTTTCCCCGAAGTAATAATCCCTTGAGATAAAAAACAATCCCCCAAAAATGTGGTCACACAATCCACGACTGTTTGTGGGACACTGCTGTGCGCAATTGGCTGCTGCGGTTCGCCCGCAAAATATACAGTCAATTCACTTTACGGTGTATTCCGTGAAGTGCTTTGAGACGTCTCGAAGACGTGATAAGGCGCCATATCAAATGCAAGGATTATTATTAATATTGATCCTTGCCCTAGCTGCCACTGTAGCCAAGCCCTTTCAGAATAGAAACACCTGCTGAACAGTTACCTGAACAGTGCTGCCCGTGACGGTTGTTTCCAAAATCTGGAAAATATCCATTAATATTATTAGTTGGTTTCCAGGACTTTCAGAGTAAACTCTCTCTGACCTGAATTTTTGCCCGTGTAATTAAATCAGCGCACAAATCGAGTGTGGTGTTTCGCCAAAGTGGTGCAGGAAATTAACCTTTCACTGGGGTATGATTCTAGCCCTGCAGAGAAGGGATCTCCAATAAATTCAGCCCTCCTAAAAAAAAATTCTTGCCTTCATTCAGAATCTCCACGTTTCCTTACAACAACTTGCATTTACGCAGGGTATTTGATATAACTACAGTAATGTAACTGTAAAAAGCCTAATGTAGTAGAATGTCCTTATTATAATAATATATAATAATAATTCTTGTGTTTAATATAGCTTTTTCTTGTGGTGTTGAATAGTCTCAAAGCGCTTCGCAGAATTTTACTATAAAGTGGAGTGCCTGTGTATTTTGTAGGTAAATGGGCAGCCAATTTGCACACTGCAATATCCTACAAACAGTATGAAGTGAATGACCAATTTGAGGGATTGTTGACCAGGACAGCAGGAGAAACTCTTCTCTTTGCGAATAGTACAATTGTACCTTTAACATTTACCTAAACAGGCAGACAGGACTTCAGTTTAATGTCACAAATGAAGAATGGCACCTCCAACAATGCAGAATTGTACAACGTATTGTGCAGAAGTGTATATTGTGTGATTGACTGGTAATCATAACGTATAGTTAGCAAAAATAAGAGTACATGTGAATTAAGCTGTTAAAGAATTTGGGGTTTTCCAAATTGTAAATGGGACAGGATGTTAGGTCACAAAATTAACAATATCATCTCCACTTTAACCTGATTACGAATTTTAAAACATCACATTTTGCTTATTCTTGACTAGATAGACTGATAATTCACTTTATAAAGCTTCATATTTTATATAAACCTCTGAAAGGGCTTCTAAACTATTGCAAATAATAACATAGAATTTATCTAGTCAAGGTTTTGGCTTCGAGAATTGTGTTGATGTTCATATCTACAGCTCACAGTCTACGTTTGCTGCAGACACAGATAGTTTGTAGCAGGCATTTCTCCTCAGAGCATGTTTAGCTCCTGGAAGACAACTCTTACTTCCCTCCCCTCAGTAAGGGGAGATACTGTATATTTTTTAGATATTAACTTGGAAAAGGTGAAGGACTGAGCAGACGCATCAGAAATCTAACCTTGTTCTACATCCAGTCCCAACTCCGTTGCTTAGGGAAGACCTTCATGGAGAAATGCTGTGTTACTATTTACAGTAGTTTAGAACAACCTAGGATGTAGTTAAACTATAGGATGCAGTTTAATATAGTGCCTATAATGTCAAAATGTTTCAAAACATTTCATAAGGAATTCATGTCGCGTGAGTATTTGTGGTTGAGCATGGCGGCTAATTTGCAACAAAACAACTTGCATTCATATAGCATCCTTCACACAAGGTAGTGTCCCAGTGTGCTGTACAGAGGCAAAGTTGGATGCTGAGGAAGGGAGGGGGGTGACAGTATACAGAGAGCAAGGTTGGATACCAGGAGTAACAACCTTTTCTCTTTGAATTGTGTCACAGGATGCTAAATGTCCACCTGAACAAGCAGCTGGAATCTCAGCTTAATGTCTCCTCCAAAAGAAACTTCTGACAATGCAGTTCTCTTCCAGCATTGCACCAGACTGTCAGCCTGATCTGTGACTTCAGAGTCATGACAACATGCTTGTCCCACAGCTTTCTGCCCCAGAGGCAAGCGTGCTACCAACTTACAAGGGAAAGGATAAACTGCGTTACTGTAGTTTCAAAATAACCATCCCTGTATCAGCACTATCAAAACAAGTTGCTGTCAATGATTTGAAGTGTTTGCAGCTAAGTGTCTTAGGTCACCATGATCCAGCCCTAAATTGAAGTGCTGTACATGTAAGAGGTAGACGATAGGAAGTGCAAAACTACCTTAGTCAAAAACAAATTAACTTTCAAATATTTCATAAATATCTCATTTACCATGGTTTATTCCTTTCATGTCTATCCTGCATTCTTAAAAGAAGTTGCAGAAAACTTCCTTTAAAATGTTAATAATAATCCTTGCATTTGATATAGTGCATTATATCACTTCATTGAGACATTTCAAAGCGCTTCACAAAGAATACTGTAAAATGTGTTGAATGTATATTTTGTGGGCGAAATGTGACAGCAGTGTCCCACAAACAGTCGTGCATTGTTAATAAGCCTGAATTGAGCCAATTCTGGATGTTCTAAAATACTAAGAAAATAGTGTAAATCTAGACCAAGGTGGATTTCTGACCCATAGTCTCCAATAATAAAACTCTTCCCACTTCAACGTCACATTAAATGTGTGGAGACTTGTTAAAGTGTGCAAACCCCAAATAGGCGTTTTGCACCTGTGAAACCTATTGGATACACAGAAATAATAGTCTTTAATATTATTCTGAGTGTGGCTGGCCTTGCCTTTTGTCAACCTCTGCAAATACTCTTTGGAATTAGGTAACCAGGTGCGTTCCTCCAGGGAGATAAAGCACATTCCCAGGCACAGGGAAATGTCCATGTGTAGACTTTGATGGGTTTCAGTATGAGTCAGACACTTGCTTGACCAAACAAACCTGCTTTTGTTATTCAAAGGCTAAATTGTATTTCCCCAGAATCTTGGGGTGAAAATTGCAGCAAAATAATGTATTTTCATTCTACGACTCAAAATAGTCTTAAAATTAATTTATTTTTCCTCTGTCATTGTATTTTGCAGTTCTCATTCTCGTATAATCCTCCCTAGAGATCTTCTTATAGCCCAAAGTTTGCATTCTTAAAGTTATTTTTGATCTTAGTCTTCAATGCAGTTGTGTATCTAACTGTACAATGATATGCAACAAGTACTGCTAGAAAGGTGAATTCCTGACACAATCAATGACATTTAAGGCTCAGAATTTGCTGGTGAAATAACTTGCTCTGAAGAGAAATTCAATGTAATTGACCATGCTGTGCTTTCTTATCTACTGCTGTAAGGATGTCCCTTTAAACTTTTCATTCAGGCATTTAATAGTATTACCCGCACAACAACAACAAAAATAAAGTTACATTTGTATAACGCCTTAGATGTCGGGAGGAAGTCCTAAGGTGCTGAAAACAGTCCTGAATGTTTCCAAGTTTTTCAAATAATCATCAACTTAGATAGGAAAGTGAAATCAAATGTAATGTGCTTTAATAATACACTCATACTGGTAGAAATTTCACCTAGGTTCAGATTCATTCTATTAATGTAGCATTTCACTCTAACTTTGAAGCCCATTTTGTGTAGTTCCTCCCGACGTGAAAGGCGCTATACAAATGTAATCTTGTTGTTGTTGTTGTTAAAAGCAAGTTACAAAAAACTTCAAAATTAAGGCTTTATAAATTCTATTTATAAATAGATTTTCATAAATTCTGTATACTCTGAAATGTATAGAGTTAATTAATAGAGTGAATGTAGACCCAGGTGGAATTTTACCCAGATAGTTCGTACAGATTTAAACACTTTTAAAGATACAATACTGTAATAATAATAATCTTTGCATTTGATATAGCAAAGTGCTTCACAGAATATTATGAAAGTGATATTTTACACTTATTTAAAATAGTATAAATATTATACTATATTAGTATAATATATAATATGTGGAGTCCTGTAGCTCAGTGGTTAGAGCACTCGCTTTGCAAGTGAGAGACCTGAGTTCAATTCCAGGGCGAAACCTTGGGCAAGTTTCCTTACTCCACACGCCTAATAATAATCCCTCCAAAAAAAAAAAACAATAATTAAATTGGTCATTTTCAATCTACGACTGTTTGTGGGACATTGCTGTGCGCAATTGGCTGCCGCGTTCGCCCACAAATATACAGTCAATTCACTTTACAGTGTGTTCTGTGAAGCGCTTTGGGACGTCCTCCCGACGTGAAAAGCGCTATATCAAATGCAAGGATTATTATTATTATTATTATTATTATTATAGTAATTAGTATATTTTGTGGGCGAAACACGGCTGCCAATTATGCACAGCAGTCGTTGATTGAGTGATCAATCTTTTAAAAAAATGTTTTGAAGGGATTATTATTGCCAGAAAAGCGATTCACCAATCAACTAACAATAATCGAATGGGTTCCTACTTACTGCTAGGTAAACAGAGGTGTTGGAGTAAGGAAACTTGCCCAACATTTCGCCCTGACGGGAATCAAACACAGGCCTCGCGCTTGCAACGCAAGTGCTCTACCACTAAACTACAGGACTCCACAATATCTATACCTCTGCTGTGTCATACCAATACATTCTCCTTCAGGTCTTTAGTTATGTTCAGTCTCCACATCATGCTAACGCATCCTTGAGGGCTAGTTTTCCTACTTCATATCATTAACAAGCTGCATTAAAATTTAGTTCAAGTTATATAAATCAAAACAGCTCGCCAGGTGTCTATTATTCATTACATATATTGCTAGCCATGTTGCAGATAAGATGCGAATTTACAGCATAAGGTATAATTGAAAGACCTGGAGCATGCACAAGTAGGTTATATTAATGTCTGTGAGATAGTGATGAGAGGTAACTCTTTGATGAATTACATTTCTAAATACTGTTTGGCATTTGCCTTCTCCTTAATTGGAAAAGATCAGAGAATGTTCTATGACAGACAGACTGACCACATTGAACATAACCACATTGTTTAAGCACTATTGTTATTATGTTCAAAGTGCTGCATTCCAATTTACTAGCTTTACAAAAGCTACCTTCCAATAATTGTATCTCAGATTGTTCTTCTTTCTGTATGAGAACACGGGTTACTTTCATTTAACTATGCCTTTGGTTGCAGCACTACAAATGTTAATCTAACACTCAGTAGTTTGAATCTGTTAAAATCCTATTCGGGCAAATATCTGATTCAAAATATTGTCATAATAGCAATATAAAACAACATTATTTTGAAAATGTTTCTAGTATACATCATTTATATGCATATTCTTTTTCAACGCACTTCTTAATCAATAAAACAAGTACTGTTTCATAATGGGAGAGAGGGGTTATAGTCAATAATATTTGATTTTTAATAGGTTGTGATCATACATGCTTCTCTAAATAACACATCTAATAAGCCCTCTGTGTGTGGCAGGTAATTCATCCAAATAGCAATATCACAGTATTATTAATCGTTGCTCATTTACTAATTTTGCAGGTACAAAGCTATCGTCAGACCCATGGACATCCAAACTTCCAATGCACTCTTGAAAATCTGTTTAAAGGTGGCTCTCATCTGGATCGTGTCAATGCTGTTGGCTGTTCCTGATGCTGTCTATTCAGATCTGTACTCTTTCTATGAACCTCATGTTAACAAATCATTTGCCGCTTGTGCCCCATACCCCCCCGATGATGAGCTGCACCCTAAGATCCACTCCATGGCATTTTTCCTGATTTTCTATGTTATTCCACTTTCTATAATTTCCGTTTATTATTTCCACATTGCCAAGAACTTGATCAGGAGTGCTTACAACATTCCAGTAGAGGGCAACCAGCACATTCGGAGACAGGTAAGACTAGCTTCCAGCGGGATAGATTTCAGTACTGATAATCTAAACTAATGAAGCGACAGTGTCTGTGTGTGTGCATCAGCCAAGATCTCAATAAACGTTTGACGTAGAGACATAATTTGTACCTCATTGGAAAGGTCTTGCAATCCGCGGGTCTCATGGGCATACCTTTTTGGAGGGATTTCCTATCGTTGATGAGCTATATTTAAAATATGCTTTAATTAAGCTCCAAAATCCGAGGTATGTATGCATCAAAGTAGCGACAGAGTGATACATATGTACTGATATATTCTGCAACAATGTAACGACAGAGAAAAGCATTGGCATTTTTGTGGGATTTTTTGGAAGCGCGGACTAGTCACTGGGGTCAGGGAATCATCCCACTCAGCTTCTGTTAACCCTGCAAGCGAAAGCCCTAACTGGTAGTGTGATCCTTACTGGACAAGCAGTGTGAAAGCTTGCCAGACAGTGCTATCAATGGCAAGCTCTGTGGATTCAGCTGGTTGGACTCCCATCGCTATCCCAATTCACACTCTGGGGTCCTGAAGCCTTGGCTCTTGCTGACCTTTGCCTAATACTTTCTGGAATCAGGTAAGCAGGATGCATCCTTCCAGGGAGAGTGTGCACATTCCAACAATCTATTTCAGGAATTTCCACGTGTAGGTGGGATACTTGAAATTCTCAGTTTGGTTTGGATAGTCTTAAGCATGGTGATGGGTGTTCACATGTGTCAGACACCCGGCTGACCAAAATTAAAATGCAGAACATTTCATCAGAATACTAGTTGGGTTGGGCAGAGTTCATTATGAAGGAGATTTAACTGGGCTGTAATGAATTGAGGCCCTTCGATCTGTATTTTCAATTTCCAGGATTGTTACTGCATCAGATGGTTCTACACAATCTTTTTTTCATTTTATTTACAGATTGAATCCAGGAAAAGGCTTGCAAAGACAGTGCTAGTGTTTGTGGGTCTTTTTGCTCTCTGCTGGCTTCCTAATCACATCATCTATCTATACCGCTCCTACCGTTATGCACAAGTAGACACCTCCTTAATGCATCGAGTAGCCAGCATTTGTGCCAGGATTCTTGCTTTCACCAACTCCTGTGTTAACCCTTTTGCTCTCTACCTTTTGAGCAAGACCTTCAGAAAGCAATTCAACAACAACCTGTTCTGCTGCAAGAGCCACTTCCTCATTCGCTCAGCCAGTATGAGCAGGAGCACCACAACTTCACGGATGACATCCCTCAAAAGCACAAACCATTCGGTGGCAAGCTTTAGCCTAGTGAATGGCAACTTTGTTCACCAAGAAGGTTGCGTCTAACCATACAGTGTACATCCTGCACTAATTTTAGCAATCATAATCAGAGCAGGGGCCTTACACTTGGAGATAGGATGTAGAATGGTGTGTCTGTGGGTTTGTGGCAAAGATGGTGGCTTGATTATAAAGGGTGTTCGCTATTGCATTTGCCAACTGAGATGAATGCCAGAGTTGAAACAGTTTCTTCCAGCATTCTGTGAGTATGGAGAAACCGTCCCTCAAAAGCACAAACCATTCGGTGGCAAGCTTTAGCCTAGTGAATGGCAACTTTGTTCACCAAGAAGGTTGCGTCTAACCATACAGTGTACATCCTGCACTAATTTTAGCAATCATAATCAGAGCAGGGGTCTTACATTGGAGATAGGATGTAGAATGGTGTGTCTGTGGGTTTGTGGTAAAGATGGTGGCTTGATTATAAAGGGTGTTCGCTATTGAATTTGCCAACAGAGATGAATGCCAGAGTTGAAACAGTTTCTTCCAGCATTCTGTGAGTATGGAGAAACCTTGAAGTATAGTAGACCCTCCCTATTAGCAGGAGAGCAACAGTCATGCTGATGGTGTCTCAATGATGTACCTCATAAGCCAAGTCATGGGAGGTGTTAAATAAATATGTTACGGAGGAGTGTTATAGAGAGAATTTAGATTACTTTGTTAGAGAAACAGCCATAGGTAATGCACTTTGCACCACAGATCATGTTAAAGATATGTTGTGACGAATCAGTGACATATGCTGGAGGCAATGGCGTAGAGGAGAGGCTTTAAATCAGGGCAGTAAGGTGATCTTACAAGTTAGAGTAACAATAGGATGTGGTTTGTGCCAGAGACCCTCCTCCATGCTTTGAGCCTTACCAGTGTGGGATAGCACTGAGCAGATGATAAGCTCTTCCCTACAGGAAAGGAAAAGATCAAGAGTGGGCAAGTACTTAGAGCCTCATTTAGAATATCATAAAAAAAGGAGAGGGATAACTTTATTGTCTGAAAAAAAACTGTTGCAAAAAGGTACAGTACATCAGAGGCTTCCACTGAATTGGAGGTTGTGATACATGTGAGAGGCATGTTATATCAGGGGTTATAAATCCCCTATATCTCAGTGGACAGATGTTTGCTTACTAACGAGAAGGCCCTAGCTTTGCACATTGGTGATGCTGAATTAGCCAAACAGCGCCTAAAAGCTTCAGTAATCCTTTGTGTTACGGAAAGGATCAATTGGCCTGAGTGCTATTCTGTCCTGCTGGAAATCCATGTATATGGGACTGGGTTAGAACATGATAAGCTCAACCATGACATCTTCCTGTGCCACTGCTCAATGTTCAGGTTTCTTGTGTGAAAAAGGAGCATTTGGGTGAGAATCTGTCAGGTTCTAGCAGTTGAACAGGAATGAGTTGTACCTCTAAGAAAGAATGAGTGATAAGAGGAAAATTGGAGAGGATGGTGGAAAGGGAAGAGGTTTGTAATATTTATTTCAGGACTGTGGTGCATGAGAGATCCATTACATTTACTGATGCTATTTTAAAATAGAAGAATGTGTGGTATATTGCATATTGATTTTAGTTCATGTTATATCAGAGAACTTGGCAATATCAGATGTTGTGAAGTTTGAGGCAGACACATAGTGAGGCACTACTGTATTAACCTACTTGCTTCCACAGGTTGACAAAGACAGTAAAGAGAATAAAATTAGTAAAGGCAGCAATGGCTGGCTGGCCTGACTACACTTTACACAGTGGGATGGCTTTGGTTAGGATCTGCCACTCAGATTTGCTGGATTGGGACTGTTGCATTAATAGGAATTGGAATTGGAATTGGAGATGATTAAAACAAAACATAGTTGGTAAGTAAGCTGATTTTCTAACTGATGAAAGTAAGGTCTTACCCAAGCTGTAAGTTTAAATATCTATTACGGCAGATAGTTCCCTTTATCATTGTCCTGCCAGCAGTAATTCTGTCATTTTTTACATATATATGTAATAAAAATACTGCCAAGGCCTTGTTAGATAATGTGATCCATTGACTTAGTATAATTTCGGAGCAATTTATAAAAAGTCCTTTGTAAAAAGACCTTTAGAACGATAGAACATCAGTCATAGACAATTGGAGATTATAGTGTGACAAAAGTCTTTTGGCATCAAAGGTAAACTCTGGCATCATTCCTACTATCCTGTGGAAAATCCAGCAGCGGATCAGTACTAGATCCTGTAACCCCCTGTTGTGACCAAACATTCATTCCAGCCCAATTTATGCAGTATCTGAAAATAATACGATGGCTAATACTACCAGTAAATCAATGCAGTATCCGTTTATATTATTGCTTGAACCAATTAGCATTAAACTCCTTTTTTAATATGATATTGGCTTTATGCTTGTATTCATTCTGGTAATTATTGGATGACCAGCCAGAATATCAAATTATACAGAAATAAGCTGCTAAGTCTCAGGCTGGGAGAAATGCTTGGTCATCTCATTTTCTGTAATCGCTGCGTGTTCATCAGTGCTGAGCTTTGCTGTTAAAGTATCTGTAAAATGTTATCTGTGGAAAGCATACCAACATTCACTGGAGATGTAGAGATACCCGAGCTTTAAATACTAGCAAACTTGAATTTCTTCAACACTATTCTGACTGAAGAATATCCTCTGTTTCTTGCTACACAAAAAACTTTGATAAATGTTACAGAGATCTGAAATAATCATCTTTGACATTTTAAAAATAGAAGTAGGATACGTTAAAGTGCATGCCAGAAATTGTTAAAGGTAATTTGTGTTAAATTTTTTATATATATGGGGGGAACGGTTAGAGTTAAAAGAAGAAAAATAGATGCTTCATATTTCATCTGAATTTATACTTCGTTATGCATCTTGCCAATAATTCTCTGTGGACATATAACTGAAACAAGTCATATTTTCATCCTTGTGACATCATGACAAGATAACTCTGAAGGTGGCTGATTTAGGAAATGGAAACGTCCCACTGATAGCATGGTGATTCCTCTTGACATAAGCATTAATGCGGCCAAAAAAAATCTAATCCGAAGAACAGCACCTCCAACAATGCAGCACACCCCCAGCTCTGAATTGGGAGCGTCATCTTAGAAGTAGAGGTTTGAAGCCCTGACGTAGGGCTTGAACTCAGAACCTTCTGACTCAAAACCAACTGAGGCAGCCTGACATAGTAACAGTATGTTACATTTGACTGGCATAAACCCTGCTCCAAAGAAACAGATGTAGATTGTAGAGTTCTTGTGAGTTGGCCATGACGTGCCGTTAGTTAGAAACAGGATTCCTGATTACCGACTCTCGGTTGCTTTTAGTGGTTCCCTTTGTGAAATTGCATTTTTTCAGTTACATTGCTTCTACCAAAGTAAGACCTATGCTACACCTGACCTAAAATACTGTATAGGGCAATATAGCTTAACCTCAGTGAAGGTAAGCCTAGTTTCACTGCGGCTGAAATGACTCATGAGTTGACACACCTAACAAAAGCCAAAGCAGGTTCGAAGTACTCCGAGACAAACCTGGGTGTGTAGGCATGACCTCAACACTGAAAGTTAATGCCCTGACAAGTACGATGATCCCAAATGAACAAGTACTATACCATGTCACATAGATACATTTTTTTTCAAACAGACACTTGGACCATTGGTATTGGCTATCAAAAGTGAAGAGCAATAGTATTTCATTCTGCAAAATTGGTACCTTTTCCATTAAGAACCACAGAAAAAAAAGTGTATTTTTTATTCAAAAACTATACTAAAGAAATGCATTGTAGTCATTCATTTACTGCCATTCCTGCCTCTTAAGTCTGCCTGAATATATAGGGCTGGTTGGCTAGTGAACAGTAGTGTGCAAAATGACTTTGAAATTAAAATATACAAGCAGAAGGATACTGTGCCAGCAAACCAAGTCTACGCAGTACTCCCAATAATACAATACTATCAGCACACTTCCAGAAACTGAATACAGTACAACAGGCATCTTTTAAAAAGAAATCACTGGTTTGTATTCTACTCTCACATCCTGTACAGGGTAAACTCCAGGCCCAAAGAAGAGGTGAAAGTCCAAGCTGAACACCTACATTTTCATTGAGACTATCTCTGATTATTTGTTGCCATTTTTACTTGATCAAACACAACTATTGCCAATTGATTGTTTTGTGTGTAATTCGATATTTAAGGGCTTATGTTTAGAATAATGAGATTTCAGTGACCACGTTTGCTTTTCTGGGTTTAGGATTCTTCATAACACCTGTTGGGGTTTACAGCAGTGGTAAATAGTCAGTATTTTACATGTCTATTGAATCTCTGCTGAGTCTATTTGCTACTCACATTTCAGACTCCCTAGTTGCCCATGAGCTGGTAGTGCCTCATTTTCTTCCCCAAAGCTTTGTTTTTTCTGGCTTGTTCCTCTCCTGCGTCTTATCCTCTGTCACCTCTGTCTTTCTCTCTCTCTCTCTCTCTCTCTCGCTCTTTCTCATGCTCCCCCCTCTATTGCTCTGCTGTGCTCCTCTCTCCTGCCCTCCATTCCAGCATCATGTTACAAGCTCTGAGATGTGAGCAGAGTGATCTCAGTCAGAGCAACCTCAGTCACCAAGTGAGCCCCAAGAGACCACTGACTGACCACAGGACTAAACCAGTGACATCTAACTGACCACATACCTAATCCAGTGACCACTAACTGACCTCACAGCCAATCCAGTAACTACTGACTGACTGCACAACCAACTCAGTGACCATTGTTTAACAAGCGGCTTTAAAACAATGACAAAGATGAATTAATATTTAGTACTCTGGAAATTAAAGTCCCTGGCACATGTGGTATAAAAACAGTACAGGTTAGATTATGGAAAATACACAACTTGTAACATTATGTAAACTTGTGTTACTCAATGGATTTCATGCCTGAAATCTACAGTCTCCTCCAATATACTCTCCATTTCTTATTACTTGTTTTGGGCTGTTGTGATCTTGCAAATAATATATGAAGATGAGTCAAATAGTATCCTCAGAACATAAACACAGTCTGTTCCCTCGCTCACTCCCCACTCCAATTACCAACCGCTGATGACGTCGATTTGGTTGTTGCTTTTAGCACTGTAAATAAAATATAAAATGTATGGCACATAGAAATATTAGCACCCAGCACCTTTATTGTTCACATTAAAAAAACGCTATTGATAATGAACGTTTGTCTATACGTTGTAGGTAATGAGATTCTTGAGAAGTGTACCTGTGCTATTGCATTTGATGTGTTTGCTTGTTACAGTATTTTCTAACTGCTTACACTGAAATGATATAGAATTTTGTGTCTTGTTTCCTAAATTGTGAATGCAGCTTTTATTAAAAACAATAAATGTAATAGTGCGATGAGAAGTGCCATTTGTTGCTTGTACATTCATAATCATAAGGTGCTCTGAAGCTTCCTTGTGTAATAACCGCTCTCTTGTATTTACCCGGAATCTATCGCTTGCCTCTTTAAAACAGCAAGGACTAACCAGACACAAAAGAATACATTAAACTGAATTAATCACTAAAACTATATATTGTAGGAGTATATCTAATGATAATATTGGTACAGATATGGAATCACAGTATTTACCCGGACTTCATCTAAAGTCAGAACAGGCAAGGAATTTGGGAACAGGTTAGACTATTAACTTTGCAAGAGTCCTCTCCACTCTCTTCATCTCTCACCCCTGGCTTGGTGCCCAACCAGCAGTGTAAAGCACTCTGAAAGGTGTGGAAAGGCACTATATAAATGTAAATTGTATTGCACAAAGTGGGGAAAATGGGAAGAAAGATAAAGGTCAAATTTATCACGACCATTCAGAAGACCGCTTGTGTATGTTTCCATGTATTCAAGTTCCCGGAGAAGACACCGCAAATTGATCAAATATCAATAGGACCTATCCATATTTTCTTCTTTAATCTTTAGATAACAATAATATGATATAAGAAATTGAAGATAAATAAATATATAATTATAGCATATAACAACAGTGAGATTTTTTATATGTTCGGATATATTTATAAAAGAAAGCAGCAATTATGTACATGAAATGAATGATCTATACACACAGATGAGTGAGTACCTCAAATAACAGTGAGCTCCGTCATCTACTCTTGACCATCTTTCCACTACGTAAAAAGGAGCTACTAAAGTAGGAGAGTAAAAAATGAATGATTAGGAAAGTGTCCAAGTGAAGGGTAAGAGAAACAATCCTGTTGTTTCCTCCCCACCCCCCAATATCAGTCAATCTAAGTGCATTCAGTAGATGGGAGAAAGCTGTGTCAGTAATCCAGAGATTGAAACAACATTTGGAAGACAAAGCATTTACATTATTTATTCTGCAACTTTTGACATGCGCGACAGCATGAGGAGGCCAGGTTAACAAGATATATAATGAAAATAAAGCACCAAGTGATAACCAACAGTTCATCAACCTGGATTCAAGGGCATCTACACAAAGATCCCTAAGTCACAGCAGAAGAGATACCAAAACATTGCTTTATGTGATCAGTGTATGCGTTTCACTTAAACTCAGGCAAATGGCCATATCTCCAACCTACGTGTGCTACTTCACCATGCCATATAAACCATGTGATGTGATGTTTTGGTCAAAATCCCTGATGATGATGCTTGGGATATCATCTGGGAACAATTTTTCCAACTTTAAAACCACAAATATTGACATAGAATTCCAACAGGTAAAATTGGCTTCTCCAAAGCAATTGTTTTGCACAAAGAAGCTGAATTTCCTAGATGCCATTCTCGTTTCAGAATCTCATGTATTGAGATGTCAATAAATCAATGTGATGTGTCACATAGCTTGGCACATTTTCTCCACTGATATCTTACAGCGGACAGAAGGTGATAGTAAAGCAACACCTCTAGTCAAAGTACAGTC